TTGCCTTTTGTGGTGTTGTATGTTAGAAGTGAGTTAGGTGTTTCTCTTTAGTAGTGTTATATGTTAGCCTTTGGTGGTGGGTTTACATTCTATGTAGTGGTCTAATATATTAGCCTTTGGTAGTGTTATATGTTAGCCTTTGGTGGTGCTATATGTTAGCATTTACACTTCTCTTTGATGGCTTTATAGTTTATCACCAAAGCAACAACTAGCATTGCATGAAACCAACCGCATCTGGAAACCAAGTTACATTGTCATAAAAATATATAATCTCCAACTTGATGACTTTCTCATAATTCAAAAGGCAGATAAAAAGAGATCTCTCATTTATGTAACATACCCTTGATTGAACATCTGTTTCAAACATTAATATAAAATCCAAAAATACATATCAAACTCAACATCAAAATATAACCAACCATATCATTTACCTAACATCTGTTTCAAACATACCAATCAAATCCAAAAATGCATATGAATAATGATCAATATCAACCATATTCTTTACTTAACATTTGTTTGAAATATACATATCCAAGATAAAAATAAAAAAACAATCAATTTCTCCGCCACAAATTCCACCTCGATTCCTCTTGCAACGCGGATGCTTGAAAGTGATCGAGTTTTTTTCTTTATTCTTCTCTCATTTTCCTACTCACTATCTCTATAATCTCCTCCATCATCAGCATCCTCTTCTCCATCATCTCCTCCATCATCATCCTCTTATCCGTCATCAGTATCCTCTTCTCCATCATCTCCTCCATTATCATCATCTTCTTCTCTTTCACTTTCATCACCCTACTCACCCTCACTTTCCACGTCACCACCCATAGTCCGTGTTATCTCTTCGACAACTCTCTCCATAGAAGTGTTATTTAGTAGCAGATCATGAGCTGTCTGTACATAACGTCTGGAAGCCCTAGCTAAAACTTCACCATTAAGTGCAGCTTGTAGCAACTCTATACATGTATGTCGCTGCAAGTAGATAGTAAAAAAAAACAAAATTGACCATTAGATATATTTTTCATAATTTTAAGATATATTAAAACGATAAAATAAGAAAATACATATAATAAATACTATATCAATCTATTATCTTGGGATTGGCCTACGGAGGGTTGTACATGTGATTGGCTTGCGGAGGGCTGTACATGCGAATG